GCTATTGAATAAACCGCAGGAAGAGGCGTGGGTTGTGAGAGTGGATCAGTGCAGGTTGACCCTTGGCGGTCCGAGGTTCCACCTGACCAGGCACCAGATGGACAGGACACGGCCGGACGAAGGGGCTGGGCTGTCCGGAATGATGGGACGCATGAACACGCATTGACCACTTGCTCCTGCTTCTTCACAACTTCATATCCATCCACTAGGCACACTTTCTCATACAAACACATGCAGACACACACAAATGCATACACACACACACACACACACACACAGAAAGACACCAGACACACACACGCACACACGCACACACACACACACACTCTCTCTCTCTCTCTCCTGGCATGTATAAGCTATTACAGAAAGTCAAACAGCACACATAAACAGGACACAGTTAGCAAAGAAATTGACTTTATTATTTAAAACATTTTCATCAGTGTAACATATGTTCTTCACAGTTCACACACAATGCTGTCCACAACTTGTCTCTCTCATGTCGAGCCCTAAAAACATCTTAATTTGTCTAGACCAGTCCATTCTACAGCTTGTAAAATGCAGGGCTTACGCTGGAGTGTAAGAGGAAGAGTGCTCAGACGTTTTATGGCCCTGGTAAGAAAGTGGGATCCCTCCCCTCCCTGTGTGTAAAAACAGTTATGGTTAGATAAGGAGGACGCTTCACTTCCACGCTATCATTTCTGCCAAGTCCATCTCGGCCCGACGTATCATCATTATCACCACAATAACAATAAAGATGTTCCCCCTGCCCTTCTCTGTGGGGTTGGGAAGTATTATTCATTTTTCCTTTATATTCCGCTATCTGGTGCAGCATAGCTCTGAGGCATTTTGGCCATTACAGTGTAAGTGTATATCACTGATTCCTGACAAAACCATCACCGCAACACAGCTGGTGATATAAAGACGGGCAGAAGGCTGGACTTTTATTGAGGCAGCGGCACCGAGGAACGTCAGCAAACAGGATTACCCAAGTGACGTGATGAATCGGAAAAGTGCTAAGGCCAGACAAATTTAATTACCTGTTTCGCTGCAGGACCCATGATTTTTCTTTTTGTGTGGGCAGTTTGGAAATGTTTCTTTTGAAAACCCACCAGAAAAAAAAAAGGATTTTGGGTGAATGAAGACTACAACTGGCTGAATAATTCTGCTTTGTCTTTTCAAGTATTTTCATGAAAAGATGAGGTTTAATTTTCGAACTTCACATATTGTAAAGTGCCATGACGTACCATTGCAGATATATACTATACTATAGCTGGGAAAGGCCAACACCTTGGTGATTGTTTTGCTGTGTTGCATTGTCATTGTTCCACAAACACTGAATTTGGGTATTTGTTTTTGACCTCGGAACATATTTAGTAGGTTTTTTTCACACGACACCTGCAGACATTTGGCAGAACAAACTTTCAAATGTCACTTTCCATATTATTTTACATTTATTTTACACCTAACAAAAAACAAACATCATGAAAAAGTCCATTATGAAGTGATTAAGCTGGTGTAGCCCCAGGGTATGACAGAAAAGTGTTCTTAAAAACAGCTCCACAATCAAAAATTAAAAGAGCAACTCCCACTTTAGCACACGCCGGGTATAACTTCTCATTAGTGCAGCACTTTACTCATTTAGGGGCTCTGCATGTTGATATAGCTGTAATCTCGCCATAAATACCTCATGTGCATTAGGAACATCCAGGATTGGAATCGCGGGAAGGAATTTTCGAAACAAAAGTTGCGGGAATCTCTGCCCAATAGTCGATATTGCGATGAGGTGAAGTTGTTGGCCGTTGTTGGCATAGTTTGAATTAATAATCACCTTAATGGTGGGTGCTGCATTAGATATCGAGTCGACTGTCTCTACCGGTCGCCACTCTCCGCCCAAGCCCAATTATTGAGCTATTACTCTTAACTAAATGAAGATGAATGAAGGAGGGGTGGTGGGTTGGGAGGCTCCCGCAATTCCGGTGAAAATTGTAGCACTTTACCGTGTAAACCGGGCTGAGAGGCATTAGTAGGACGGCGATTACCGTCGTTTGGGGGATTCGTTGCGAAAGCACCGCGAGATGGCGAGTAAAATGGGGATTTCGTAACTGCCGTCTGAATGGATGCCGTAATTCCTGGAGATAGTATGAGAGAGGAGTCAGCTAATTCCAAAGTGCTACAGTTAAACTTCCAGTCGATATCATAATCCACCCGACAGAAACGCACGGAAAATTGCGACAACCCAAATTGACAGTCAATTCCTAGGGAAAACCCAATCCGAAGAATCAATATTTACAAAATGGTAATTAAGGTCATAAAACATTGGGTGTTTATATATGTGGGTAATTGTAATACATTAAGGGTCTCTTGCATTTCATGAATACAGTTTTGAAAATGTCGTGCTGTGACATACATATGGTACGTGTACCACCATTGGTTCCTGTATTGATTGCCACGTAATATTGCAACAGTTCGAACCTATTCCAACTTTAGGAGTTCAGCCAGGGGTGACTGGCAGAGACATAACAAACAAGGGATACGTATCAGGTACTTCCAAATTTTCTGATAACACTGGAGAAATATGTCAGGAAACTAAAGTAAAGCCGTACAATAACAAGTATGCCGCATATGAATCACACACAAGATTATCATACCTTCCAAACTGCAACCTGATCTAACTACAACCGGTACGGGCTAGATTGGCAAGTCTTGTCTGAATGGATCAAACACGCACAGACGTGTTGATAGAAATAACACACATATTCTCTGCCAGAAATGTGGCTCTGTCTGGGAGCAAAGCTGGGAGGATTTTCAGTTACAGGGGGAAACAAAAAGTCTGTTTTCACTAAATTGTTTTCGTAAACCAGTGGGGAACGCTAACGGTCTACCGGGAATTTGAAGTAGCGTTATGATGAGGTAAGGAAAAACACAGGGTTGGACGTACACTGGGAAACTGACAGCGTTTTAACAGCTTTGGACGTTTGATGGACACTCTCGATGGTAAAATGGCCCCCTGAATGCTGGGTTGGAAAATAGCCGTATTGAAGCAGCGCAGCGGCAGGCCAAATTTGTGGGTTCAAGTCTAGAATGATCGCGTCGGAGACCCCGTAATCAGAGGCGAAAGGGTGGGCGATAACATCAAAAATGGCGACAAAATGTCAAACGGGAGCACAACCTGTCCGACAAATGATAGAGAACAGAGCGGGGACTGGCGCGACGGCAGCTGATTGCAGGCGGGGCTCCGCGACAAGGACAAAATGTAATAGTCCCGTGATTTACGGCAAATAATAACTAATTTTCTCCGTAAATCCATCCAGCCAAACACCGGTCCCTTGACCCTGGCAGCGCTAACCTGGTTACGACCAGGAAAGTCGTTTGTGATGAAAATGAATTGAGGTGACCTGAGAAGTTGGCCCTGAATTTGGAGAGCTGCACTCTCTCTGCCAACCAGGAATTTCATCAGATTAAAATTCCAATAACTTTTCTGATCCTGTAATATAGAATTAGAGACGGGGCTGTGCCTGTCAGTACCAGAAGTAGCAAATGTGTGGAACCAGTGTTCGAGCCAGCCTGAAATTTTATTGTCATCTCAATTTTGTTTGACGTAACATAATATGAAGTACTGGAGGTGCAAGCGCAACAATCCTATGGGTTCCGGGGGCACGCTCTCCCGGAAAGAAAATTTTGAAATCTTGACCCTTTGAAACACTATTTCTTGCATTTTGAGGGGTCAATTTTGCTCGAAGACTAATCTTACTTTAATGACACCTCTTTCCATATCTTTCTACGCCGACTTTTGGCCATCAAAGATGACAGATTGGACAAAATTGTTGTCTGTCATGACAGGCAAAATATTGTCAAATGACAGAAAAACAGACGCTGGATAGAACACTGTGTGGAATAGCCCATCAGACACTAGTAGGCCGTACGTCTCTAGTTTGGCATTTCTTAGCCTCCATTACACACAGAGTACATCAATGATGATCAATCCATACAAGTTATAAAAGTTTTCCATGGTCTTTGTAACACAGCAACACTGGCAAAACATTTGGACTCATTTCTTTTTTAAAAGGCAACATTTGGTTATCTACATGTCTGATACAATTGATAACACTGACAGAAAAGAAGGTTATAAGAAATTCTGTACAAATATTACGTTTGCCTGTTCAATTCTGTTGTCTTGGATGTTCTACATCGTTCATGCATGTTCATATCTAATATTTCTGCTGACAATTGTTTTATGTGTTAAAAAAACTTCTTCCGTATTATCATTACACGTCATCACTACATACAAGGGATAAAGATGCTGATCCCAAATTCGTCACATATTTAATTCTGTACATTATAATCTGGGTATATTTCATTCATATCTACGAGGGCAAGTTTTGAAATTTAATACAAACTGCCAAAATTGTCTAAATAAAAACACTCAGTCTGGACTAATTTTCCCCATTCCACAAAAGCTAATGCCACATCAATTCAATTCACTGGTATTTGATATATTGCCTTTCTGAAACTTAATGTCAATCTTTGCACCTTTAATAACACTGGTTGCAATGTTTTGAATATGTCATCCAAGTATTATACATTCTTTGCACTAACTACTGACATATAATAAAATCACCTGCAAAAATGTATTTCCTTTGTTTGTAAAATCAACATTGATGAAGGTTAGACAAGAGATTCTGCACTGCAACTAGATAGATTTTGAAAACTGTCAGACATTTCAAGTAGCATCCTCTGCTTCCGTACAGCTTTTCATTGACGAAATACGAGAACCAATGAATCAAATTGTTGTGGCCTATAGTGTGTAAACTATTTATTACCAGAAGAACAGATTCCTGCATGTAGCTGTGATCCTACCTAGAACACTGAATGTTTGAGCCATCATTTGTATCTCTTTATCTCCTTGGGAGGGAAGAATAAAATAGAAGACATAGTTATCCATCTGACTGCACAGTCACCCGCCCAAAAGTGTTGGTAAACAGGCTTCAGAGAAGTATGTTCCAGGTGCTGGATGTGTGCGCGGCTGGCACCTGTGCAGGTGTGGCGGGTGTCACCTGCTGGAGAGGCACCTGTTTGACCATGTGGGAAGGCTGCTGGGAAGTGGGAGTACAAGCTGACACCTGCAGGGCACCTGAAAAAATATAAACAAGAAAATACATTATATTCAGGGTTACTATTAAACATCAAGGATTGAAAGTTTGTTTTTGGGACAAAAAATGTAGATATATATAAAAAATTTTGGGGTGCACAACATAAGAAAGATAAAGTCTCATGCACACAAGTAAATCCATCCAGTCAAACAGGGTCAAAAGTTGAAAAGCTTTATCACCATTCTTAACATTTCTGTCTACATGACACGGTCTATGAAAAACTGGTTTCAAAACATGATATAGAGACTGAAGCAGGTTTCATCTTTACAGCATCCCTCTGTTAGCCTTGATTTTTTGGGCAATATTTGTTAGTGGCAGAATAAAATATGATAATGGCCATATTATGAACAGCCATAACATCATACCCAGTAAAATGATATGATTGTGTAAAAAATGTATAAAGTTGTCTACCGAGGGATGTTAACTACCCTTAACATTTTCCACAAAGAATTACTTCTAAAAAGGCATCAGGAATAGGTGATCCAAACTCATTTTGACATGATGTTTTATGCATTAATTCTCCTATCCGTTCTGAAAGGTGATTTTGTAGTAAGAGCATATAGCAGGCCACATTTGGAAGAATTTAGGTCAATTGATGGATAAATTTGTCTGGGTGGACAGATCAAATGATAAAGGCAAATCATTCATCTTATGGCCAATCATGGAAATCATTTTTAGTTCATGACAGAATATGATGTGGTCAGAACTTATTCCGTAGATATGTTGTGTCAGTGTTTTAGAAATAGTCAGCATTATAAAGTTCTCCCGACCTGATGATGATGATGATAAAGTTCTCATCATGTGTCCAAGTTCCTTTTTTTTGCTCTTCAAAGCTGTGATAAAAGTTAAATTCAACATCAATCTGGTCTTGAGGGTGAGAAAATTCAGAAATTTAAATCAAATGGTAGGAGTGGTCAAGAATAGTTTGTTAATGTGCCAAAAGGTGGTTTTCTGGTTAGGGTTGTTGACTCAGAATCTGAAGGTTCTGAGTTTGAATAGCAGGCCCTATGCAGTGTTGTGCCCTTGACACCTATTTCCTAACATGACTCAAGTGAAAATGAGTACCTAGCTTAGCCTCCATAGCATGCCAAAAACTGGGGGTTTTGGTGGTCTTCATGGTCTTTGGGAGCTTTTATGTGCTTTTTTTTGATTGCATATAGACAACATAGCCGGCCTGGTTGAAATACATGTACCCCCATTATTTTAAACTGGGTTAATCAGAAAACAGCTGAAGACCACCAAACCCCCAGTTCTATAAGCCTGCTACAGAGGCTATGCCTAGCTTTGGTTAGGGACATCCTCTCGGATAGGACAGAAAGCCAGAGGTCCCATGTTTGAGGAGAGACACACCTCAAGCACATTACAGATCCCACCACACTTATCAATCAAAAAGAGAAGGGGTCCTTCCCAGTGTGTGTGGTTCAAACCTTACAGTCTGGTCTCGGGGTTGGCATTTTGAAAAGGTGACAGTCATCATTCTGTTATGTCAATCCTTCAACAAATGTGGTAAATCTCAATAAATAAATAGTCATTAAAATGAAAAAGCTTCCTTCTCCTTTTTTCTTGCCTTTGGGAAAAATAAATCATGGAGGAAACAAACAAGGTGAGACAAGACTTATTCAGGTGAGACAAGTCAGGTGAACTAACTCAGGTGAGGCTGAATCAGTGGGTGGTCGGCACAACTCACCTTACCTGTATTTACCTCAACCAGGTGTGTACATTGTGTAGTACCCCAAGGCAGTGTTACAATTACAGTTACAGGGGAACCAATGTACCCCTACCCGGCACTTTGCAGGTAAAACTCTAAATCATGATTATAGCAAAGACTCTCTCAAGTGGTACATTTTAACTGAAGAAAAATGATATTATAATAGTGCTTAGAGAGTAATTATAGTACATTAAAAATACACCACCTACCCTACCATGCTATCCCCAGGGATGTGTCATTACTACTTTATCCAAACAAGTGATAATTGAGGGATTAACAGCTGCGTTGTTCCATATGGCTGGTCCCCCTAACACAACAAAACTTTCCTCTTATGTTTAGGCAAGCACACCTGTTAAGGCCACAATAAATAATTTTCATGGATGACATCAGATGCACATTAATTTTCGCCTGATTTTGGAAAAAAAAAGAAGAAATTTTGTTGCCTTCTGACAGTGGTCACCATGCCAAAGATGTCTGTTGCCATGCCCAAACGTGGATTTAATGTTTTGTTTCTTATTTTGATGCAGTGATATGTGATGCTGGCTGTGTATATGTGTTGTTTCAACTGAATCAAAACCAATTGTACAATGATTGAGTCAAAATTTTAAAATGTAGGAACCTTGTTTTTTCGGCCCGCCTTGTTTTTTTCACCCGCTCGCATTAGATTTGGAGTCTGTGGAGGATGTCATCCATGAAATTTACTTGCTGTGGCCTAAAGAGGAAAACCTCCATCCTCTAACTATATAATATAAGAGTCTAAGTTTGCCAGATAAGTTTCCTTGTGAAGCAAGGATATCAAGCACTTGTATTTATCATAATAAAAAATATTCTAAAGTTGCAGTGAATCATAATAGCTGCTATTAATAGAGAGGATCATTATTTGACACATCTTACAGGAAAACCATGCATAAATGCACCGTGGACAATAGCATTGGGTGAAAAAGAGTGAACACTGCTATGTCTACCACTAAGGTATCCTTCAGGATGATTGTAATTAAAAGTAACACCATTGGTGTAAATTTTAGTTCCTTAATAGATAGACATTTAATGTAAATACACTATCCCTGATAGCAGGCTCCGAGTGACAATTCAATACCGTTGTTTTTTTTTTAATTACAATATCAGTGGCAGTAACTACTAAAAAAACTCAAGTGGCAACTTCTACTCCTTTAGTAGACCAACTCTCCTGTTATTTGGCCAATTTTTACTCTTTCCAGACGCTTCTGATGCCTGGTAGAGGCTGAAAAATAAGGCACAACCAGAAAACAGGGACCGGCAGAAAAAAAGCACTATTGAAACATTGATGATTGCTATATATAATTTGGGGTATAGTTTCACTGCTTCTATAGACTTCTGTTCATTTGAAAAATTAATCTCTAAATTTCGAAACACAGCCTATGTACAGGAAACGTGTTAACCACAGCAATGTTCCCATGGGTGGTCGAGACCGTGAGAGGTAATCAGTCATACAAACTATCATGGAGGATGTAAAAACGATGTGACAGGTCATCTTATCAAGGCTTAACTCACACAGATTCTCCTCAGCTGTCCAGTGGAGATCACTCATCTGTCTTAAAGGCACAAGAAGACTAAAAGGCACCCAAAGTAATTTCAGGGCAGTAAACCTTAATTTTCAAAATTCAATTTTCTGGTAAGTTTTTTTTACTAGTAAGTTGAATAATCCCTATCCCATAGCAAATATTGATATCTGTGTGCAAAAATGTGACACTGGCAGAAAATGATTGGCTTGTTTGTATCATAGGCTGGTTTTAGCTATTTCTTGGTGGTACCAAAAATTACAGAGACTCCTCATATAGCTTGTTTTTAGGCTATTTCAAAAGCTTCAAGTATGGAGAAAGAAAAAAATTAGTGATGATAATGCAAATTACATTTCTGAGAGTGAAAACTATAGGCACAGGATCCTTTTGTGTTAACCTCTTACTGGAAGCAGCTTATCTCTTTATCTCCTTCCTTCCCAACTGTCCTATTGAACTTCCTGGTACCGAAATTACCCAAATTAATTCCCTAATCTCAGAACACCAACTGCAGTGTTTTTATCTCCCACCCCGCCCCTTTTTGGCCATGTCCCTGCTATCAGCCCTTTCCTTCCGCTTTTCTCTTATCTCTCCTTTTCCCACCCCAACACGGACTCGTACTACATCTCTAACATTCTCGGCTAAAGGAGGATTTCCCTGTAATCCCTCTCCCCCCTTTGTGGGGAGAGTTTTCCCCACCACTGCTGACCCCGCCGTGCCCGTTCGTACTTGTCTCTCGGACGACCAATTTGCGGCGCAGCCGGCCCTTGTTGGCACGTCCTGATCCATTGTGTTGTGTTTTATCTCTCAACCAGGGATTGGTGTGACTTCCTCTGTTCTGACAAGACCCGGGATACTTGGCTCAGCGCTGGATTTGCTGCTAATCTGGGGTCGGCGCATCCACGACACCCGACACCGCGGCCGGGGTGAGGTGCGATAGGATGATGTCATCGGTCCGACGGCCCACACATGTGTAGGGCGACCCGATCTTATCATCACGGAACAGACAGGTGAAGAAGTCGGAACAACAATCCAAACGACTGTCCTTTGTTACAGGGGGAAGGGCGGAAAAAACAAGGAATCAAATGGGCAGCCATTTAACGGCTACCCTGGCGATCGTCTGGTGTGATAACCTGTGACGGGGGTAATCCCCATAAAAAAGGACAGTGCTGTGGACCATGTAGAGGTGGCTGCCTATTAGCATCTACCAGGCTTCGGAAGTGGCTGGAAAGACTAGGAATTGGCCAAATAGACAGATAACATGGCAGGGGAGTTGGTCCGCTAAAGTTTTGCTGCCTTCGAGTGAAATACTCCTTTAGCTGACAAACTCCTATGTTATCTGTCTATTTGGCCAATTTCTACTCTTTCCAGCCACTTCCGAAGCCTGGTAGAGGCTGGTCGCCTATGGTAGGGTAGAGGTGTCAAACTTTACTAGGAGCTAGTCATCAATTGTGGCAGGCCATGTGAAAATGTGTCACGTAATTTCTCTGTCCTCGGGCGTGAGTGAAATGATGGAGATTGACAGGTGAAAAGGTTAAAAATGGAGTGGTGAACTGGATCTACAGGAAGTAGTAACGATATGGTGGTAAATCTCGCTCAATTAGACCAGCCCCGTCCGATCTCGTGTGACACGACTGTCACGCACAGGAAGGCCGTTAATCATCCTTTGTCACTTCTGTCGTTATGGAGCAAAAAATGCGCTTCCTACCACTGCCTTAACGGGGCATACAGCAATCAA